TTTAATTGTTAATTATTTTTTAATATAACAAAAAAATTAAAAACATTAAATTAAAAGAAAAGAACTAAACTCTTACCTTTCCCCCCAACATCTCCTCACTCCTCGTCCTCAACCAACATGCCCCCTGTCCTTCCCACTGCCGCCCGGGTGATGCCGAAGGTGCTGAGGGAAGTTACCGGAAGCCACCAATTGGAGTGATAGAGAGTGTGAAAAAAGAGAGCATGGGAGAAAGAGAGAAGAGAGAGGAGATGTTGGTGAAGAAGGTAAGTGCGTAGTTCTTTTTTTTTTTTCTTAGTTTTGAGTTCTTAATTTTTTAATTTTTTATATTAAAACTAATTAAAACTAAAATATTTTTTACATGTCAGGTGCTATGTAAAACTTATTCAATTAAAACAGCCATCTGTCCAATTCACTGATGCATGGAAAATCCACTAGCAGTGTTAGTATACATTAGGAATCAATTTGAATATTTTAAAATAATATAGGAACCAATTTACTATTTTGATTATTTGCAATAGCATAACAAAAAGTAGTCAGTCATAAAGGGGGAAGCTATGGGAGAAAAGCTGTTAGATTAAGAGCTTCTATGCATTTTGCATATATGATAGTTAAGGATGCATAACAGTTCACATGGTGGGAAGAAAATGAAGTTTCTTTTTTTTCTTCAATTAACCCAGTTGGGAAAAATAGGAGTAAGGATCTAGTGGTTAGTAATAGGATGCAAATTACTTGTTTATTTTTCCTTTTTGACATTCTAAAAACAATCAAATCAAGAAGGTGAAGGAAATTTTCTTTAGCTTGCATCTTTTGTTTAGGCTAGAATTTGGAACAGATCTTACTTTATAACAGTTAGTTCTACTGGAGTCTGAAATAATAGAAATTGGCCAAGTATGAAATTTACGTAAAATTGAAACATTCTGAATCAGTAACAGAGCGTATATAAATGATGTGTGCTTTAGTGTGTTTGTTGGTCACGGGAAGGATTTACCAATAGCTGCCTGCTACATTAATGCTACAAAATCGGTTTTTGTTGGTAAGAATTGCATGCAAGATGGAACTTGCGGTCTTGTTGAATGGATTCGATGTTTAAGTGATGAACTTGAAACTGGAAGCAGGTGATCGATGAGTCGCCGAAGTTTGATATGCTTCTGAAGCTGAAGAGGGGAGATAAAGAAGAAAAATTCAAGGTTGAAGTGCACAAGAACGCTCAGGGTACCTTCCACCTTAACCGGATGGTGCCACAGCCCCACTCTTAAATGTTTGTATGTCTCCTACACATACATAAATATATATGTGCACCACAACTTGTGGACTTGTTGCAACTGATTGCTTGCATGTAATAACGTGAAGAGTATGTTATTCAACTGTGGTTTAACAGACTTAAAAAAACATTATCTTACTTATAACAAAAGCATCTCAGTGTACGTTTCTTCTGTAATCACAACCCCATGCTAAAACCTCAAACCGGCGCCCTCGTTTAGAGGATCTGAACACCACTTATGTCTTGAGAACTTTTCAGAAATGAATTTAAAAAATGTCTCATTATCATTTATGTAGTTACAGGTACGTAGCCCCACATATTGGTAAAGGGGCCAATAATGGCAAATAGCATAACTGTATGTATATATGTGTGTTTTGCTAAACGTGGGTATGCTTGTTTTCGATGCATGAAAACGTTGAAAACCCAACTTTGCATATTTTGTATACATGCATAACTGTGTGTATATATATATATATGTGTAATTGCATTTATACGTCTTGCCAAACGTGGGTATGCTTGTTTTCGATCCAGCTTTGTATATTTTGTCATAATCCCTCGCCCATTTAGATTCCTAATGATTATCAATTTCTAAATAGCAACCACCATTTATATTGTTCGATTTCATTAAGGCGAAATTTTTGCTACTACTGACTTTTAATCTCTAAAACCAGTGTTCTAAGAAATATTGAAGGACCCAGAAGATTATGCTCTCTCGTGAGAGCAGTTGCCAAAACAAATGCAGAGAAAAAAAAAAAAGAAAGAAAAGAAAGTTGAGACATCACAGAACAATGGAGCACTCAGCCCACAGTGATAAGAACATTAGTAAAGAATAGTGCAGCAGCTACAAATATTTGCCAAACTCTATATATAATATATTGTAGTTTAGAAAATATTTGCCAAATTCTAGGTGATAATCACTTCGACAAATTGTTAATATGGTTTTGACCTGAATGACCACCGTTTCCTAAACTGTTCTTGTAAATGACACAAAACTATCTGTTCACCACCTCGAAGGTGGCTGCTGTCATATGAAACTCCTGCATTAAATATCACTTCAGTTATAGATGATGATGATGATGATGATGAACAACCCAAAAAGGAAACGATAAAACAGAAACAAAACAACAATCTATGTTTTCGTAAGAAGCTAAATTTAGGTGTTCATCTGACTGATGATCCAACAACCATAACTAGTGATTATAATTGATGAGAAGACCAAGAGTACAAAGGCAATTTACTTGGGACTAAGATTACCATATTTCTTCCTACGACTGCAGACTGTCTGTCGGGCGCAAAGATAATAGTCTCGGGACACTGAAAAAAGGTTTGTTAGAAAGATCCAAGCAAAAGAAAAACATTAACAAAAGGGCCTTGCTTTGCGCAGCTCTTCTTTTGCCTCCACGCCTCTCTCATTAGTTCTCACTTCACCTTTATTTCGAACACTTACCCCTCTTCGTCATAATCTTCCTCATCCTCGTCTATCCTCTTGCTAAGGTGCGCAAGCTGGAGAGGGTCAATTCTTTCCATTTCAGAAAGGGACCACCCCGGATATTCTTCTGTTTTTGTCTCCACTGATGCAGTTGCTACTGGTGTTGTTGCTGTACCAACCACTGCTGCTGCACTCGATGTCGTTGCCATGGCTTTTGCATCATTGGTCTCGTCTACGTCTGCATTTAGGTCAAAATTTCGAGCAGCTGGATTGGTGCCATCATTCTCTGCAGAATTCTCCTTTGTTGCTTCCTTTGGCTCCGAACTATCTTCAATCGGTGCACCATGTTCTGTGTTGGTCCTGCTTACAGGCTGAACAACCGTGGTTGGTTCTATTTCCATCTCACGGTGAGAGGGTTCCCTTTCTGCATTTTTCGAGCTTCTTCCACGACCTCTTCCACGGCCCCGGCCTCTACCTCTGCCACTGCAGCCTGCAGGAGCTGTCTCATGCTGCATTGATCAAGTAAAAGGAACCTCATCTTTGGAACATACATAAATTCATAAACAACAAATGCTTCCTCAAGATTTTAATCTCAGTTTAGACAATCAATATAACTACGAACGGCTCATGCATCAGAATGAACAATAAAGAGTTATTGATATCCTGGTGACCGAAATAAATAAAAAACAAATTCTAATTAAATTAATAAATAAGAAAGAGAAATAAAGGACCAACTAATCATATAAGATGGTGACTTAAATTAATAAAATAATTTAGAGAAATATGGAATCTACTATATGAACTTGTCAAATTCTAAAAAATGTGTTGAAGTTTTTACTACGTGGTGACGTCGACAATTGCTGACATAAAATGACGTGATATCATGTGAATTATTATTACTTGACATTATTTTTCCTCTAGATTTATAGAGTGTCGAGGATATAGGCTCACCATTCTGCTCCTCTTTGACTCATCATCACTATCATTGCACTCATCACCACCAGCAGGTTTCCTGGGAAACCCAAAAGTCAATTAGTTTTGAAGTTGACGGAAATTAATGGGAAAAAGGAAATCAACAATTCTCAAACCTTCTCTTTGGAATGTTTCGGTCCTCTGTGCCAGCATCAGAATGACCATGACAGTAGTCGGGAACTCTGCTGACAATTTCCCTCAGAAAATCAAACACATTGTAGCTTTGTACACAATGTTTTCTGCAGCAAAGACAAATGATTGGATTGTTGACAGAAACATGATATCTGAAATATAAAGATGATAACAAACAAAAATGATAGGGGAAAGTGATAAGCAACCTGATGGTTGACTTATTTAAAAGAGAAACTAAACTTTTCCATCATATACTAAAAGATGGGGAAAGAAACTCAGAAATCTTATTCCTCTGTCTCTTTGGGAGATAAGGAACGAAAGATAGAAGAAAGTTATTGAAGGCATTTGCTCTTCTTTTGCTAAAATTATGGATTCTCTCTGATTATTTTATGGAGACGGACCACACTAGGCGGAGAGGATATATGAATATCTTTTTCTTCTGATATCTCCTAAATCTTTCATAGATGGATGACTAGCCTTGATACCTTTTAGACTATTTAGGTCCCTTATGCATTTGCTTGCTCTTTTTCTAGTTGTTTTGCACATAATAGACAAAAGCAATCCAAAGAGACTCACGCACCTCAACCAAAAAAGATGCCTTGCAAATCATTCTATCCTAAATATTGTAATGTTAAAGTGGTGAGGAAATGACCCAACAAAAATTGCCTCCCTCCAGAATAGTATAGCGTGGAGCTATTTTGCAGATTGTGGGTGGTTTAGTTGGATGGCACCAACTATCATGCTTCTCATGTTAAAGTACAGGATTTTCAAATATCATGCTTCTCATTTTTTCACTTCTCTGGGATAAGATTCCTTTTTGGCATCCCTTGGTAAAAGCACATGAGTAATTAAAGATTATTCTCTCTCTATTTCGCATAGGAATAGGCTAGCCATCTTGTTTTGAGCACGGCCAATTTTTCTCTCTTTCCTGTACTTTTGTTTTCTCTCTCTACAGCTAGTCCTTGAACGCTCTAGAAGGACAGGAAAAAGGAAACACAATCAAACTATGGGGAATGATAAACTCCAAACCCATACAGCTGTTGGTGGATCGCGGGAGGACGCTCACATTCATAAATGCATGCGGCAAGACCCTGTGATATTTTCCTCAAAATCAACCCCCTCCAAATAATGGCAACCAACAGACAAAGCATGCAGAGACACTACAAGACCCTGCCTTTGAACAGGAAACTACGAAAGGTATGCTTTATGACTCCTTTAGAGCAACAGAATTAGGAAGTCAAGATACAATCCTCATAACAGATTGGATGAACAAATATAATCCAGTGTCCTTTGACTTCCTTCACATGCAAGCTGCCATTACTTAAGGAAGCCAGAAGGTACTGATTCAGGGTGTCACGGGAAGAAAAGATGTTGGATCCTTCTCTCCTAAGAGGCTACCTAGAGTAATGCACAAAGAAAAGGAAAGCTACCACACCCTAGAACTTTTCACAACCACCAAAACCTCCAGTTCACAAAAAATAAGTGTTGTACAGGAGGACCTCAACATGGTATTAAAAAAATACAGAGACATTTTTGAGGAACTAAAAGAGCTACCACCAACTCGTGAACAGGATCATGGGATACCTCTTCTTCCAGGGCAACACTGGTGAACATGAGAACCTACAGGTATCCTTATTTTCACAAAACAGAAATTGAGAGGCAGCTGACACTAATGCCAGATAACTTGGTCATCCAACCAAGCCATAGCCCCTTTGCATCAGTACTTTTGGTTGAAAGGACGAAAGGTGGAGATTCTATGTAGACTACCGCTAGCTAAATACAATCACCGTGAAGAAAAAATTTCCTATACTAGAGATTGATGACTAGTTGGATG